ACTGACTTCGTTGATCCCACTGTTGGCGATGTTATGGGAGATGTATTGGTTGGATAAAAGTTGAGATTGAGATGAGATCTGAAACCAGATGACTGTCTCCCAGAACTGTTTGTTGGAGACATTGACAAGTAGTCGTCAGTTTGAGCGTCTTCTTCAGATATGGGAGGTTCTGATGGTATGAGACTGTTGTGAAGGCCGGAGTGGTGTTCGGACACAGGCGTCAAACAGTGACTGCTCTCATAGTCTTCGATTGAGAGCGAACTCCCGGCGCTGTCCGTCGAACACGCGGCAGAACTCGCACTACATTAACAATAATCACATCATTAATGCATTCATTCATTACTTATAATATAAGACTAAATAAAGTCTAACACATCTGACGCCATAACAAATATTAAGATAACTGATAAATGTTAGTCTTTGGGTAGATTTAGTGGAGATATTTTTACGAATCTAATTTTATAATTTAAGTTACCATTCCTAGCCACCAGAAACCAAGTTTCATTAAGCTTGCAGGATTTGACTTTATACATTAAATTTAAAAAAAAGTCAGGCAAACTAATCGTATGTAAATTGATCATGCTCAAACAATAATAGAGATAATACTATTATCATAATAGAAAACCTTACTCTTGCAATATCGCTAATATCTAATGTATATGACCCTATCCTATTCAATGGTCAATTATGACCTGTGCCTCATCTGTAGCCACAAATAACAAATAGTGTTAAAACAAACCTCAAAGGGTTGTGAGACGGCGGCGAATAAGAGAGCGTCCGGTTGTGAAGGGCTGAATGAAGTCGATCAGTGGTCTGGTAGTGAACGGGCGTCCAATGTCTCGAGTCATGAGATGCGGTATCAGATTCACTGGTAGTTCTGGACCGGGAGGGCATTGAATCACATCTTTCTCTAATCGAGTTCTTATTGGCCGAAGTGTTGGGAACCACAGCACTGGCGGCCGATGAATAAGAGGTGCCAAAAGGTGCTACGCTTTGGTTGGTATGCGCTGTCTGTGCGGGACGTCTACTAGAAATAGGTTTATCACTTGTGGACGCACTGCGGGGTCGTTGTGAGGGTCCGAAGTCTTCGTGACTTTTGGAGGAACACATGGCCGCCAGAATCACTTCATGCATATTCTGAGCGATGGTTGAGTCCTCCGCTTGTATCCAAATATCTCCCGGACCTATACTCGAAGACCGGCCCAACTCTATGAAGAAAGTACTGTTCGTATGACCGCATCGGCGGATACTTATTAACGGGAATTCATAGACATCGGGCGGATCTGTTTGGGCGTCAACTTTGACAATATATAGCGTGTTTGCAGTCAAACAGAGCCGATGAATACCATTCATGTTCCGGGTTTGGCCCAAACCATTGCGATTAATATTCACTTGCCATACATGCTCTGTACCATACATTCAATATACAACTTGTTAAACATGTTAATTAATATAACTATTTATATTGATATGCATTCAAATAGTTACTGTGACATTACATCTGTGCTGTTATACAGACTTTCATTTTTTGTAAATTTTCCCACATATTTGCAGTAAAGAGACGATTAAAAAATTAATTTATAATTTGTTTCTAAATTTAAAATCTAAACAATTATATCATCACAACATAGTCTATGAAATCATTTCAAGTGTTTTTATCCATTTAGTAAAACCTATATTTTTATTTATTTCACATAATATAAACTCGATATGAATATTATATGCAGTGATCGTAATAATCGTAATTAAAAACTCATAAGTGGTTTCATATGAATAAAGAAACGAAAACAAACTCTTCACTAATAGACAGCATTTATATACAGTATAAATATAAATGTGGGTTAAGTCTAGTCGTGTTATACAGACTCTACTTCTCTTATTTTGCGACAATTAATAGATTTGTAATATAATGCAAGTATTGAATGAATACAATAACAAAGTTACTATACATGTGGGCTCTAAATATATGGCCGCACTATTAGATCACATAATTATTAAATACATTTGCAATCATTTGTTTACTCAATGCTTTGTTGACACACTTTAACCACCCCTTCAGCTCTTACTTCATATAATCTATTGTATCTATGATTGTAAGCAATCAACACAACAACACCTCTCCCTCCCCTCCCTCTCAATGCAAATCTAATTATAATAATACAAATGTATATCAAATGTCAATAACAATGCATTTGTTGGTCAATAAGTGTAATGAAAGGACAAACCGTATTGAATGCTA